TTTTTTGTTTTTCGGTTCCAGAGATTGACCCTGGGGGTCCTTAACTACTAAGCCAAATTCATAGCCCTTTTTAATTTTTATTTTGAGATTGGTCTTGCTAAGTTGCTTAGAACCTCTAAGTTGCTTAAATGGGCTTTCAATTTGCAATTTTCCTGCCTCAGCCTCTTGAGCTTCTTGGATTACAGGTGTGAGCCACCATGCTCAGCTAAATAACAAATATTTGAAAGTAGAACTAATAAAACATGTATTCTTCTGTTTACTGAATTTATTATAATTTTTTTCTATCTGCCTCTTTGCTTCTGTACTTCTTCCTTTTTTCCTAAGCCTGAACCCCAAACCCCAACACCATGTATTCTGTTTTCATTGTAGCAACAGAGTGATCATTTTAAACATAATCTATTGATTTCTCTTCAGAGGTAAAAGAACAAGAATTCTCTCTATAGGAGTTCCCTACATGTTGCACTGACAAGTTTACCTCCTGCATGCATCTTCCCTGTATAGGGAATGCATAACTCCAGGTTCTGTATGACTCACATTGTCATGTTATTTTGAGATTGGTTGACAGATCATCTTTTCAGGAAAAGGCAATTGTTTACTCTTTTTAAAATTACAGTTTTGACCGGGCTTTCTCTATCCTGCTTTCTAACTTCATTTTGTTCTCTAGTATTTACATCATCTTACATCATATATATTTTACTTACTTATTTATTTTTGGTGTGTAAAACTCCGAAAAGCATAGGAATTAGAATTTTTTTTTTATCATTTTAACCCTAGAACAAGACCTGGTAGATTAGGCTTTCACTTAGAAAAAAAATTAATGAATTAATGGGAGACTTGAGCTAATACAGAGTCCTGATTAGTCTACTAATATGATTTTTTTCCACTGTGGGTTTCAATGATTACTGGAGAGAATATTATTGCCATTTTAGGAATTATCCTACTTTTGCATTTGTTATGAAGTGTCTCCCAACAAGCTCATGTTTATAATGGAAAATTTTTCAGAGGTGAAATGATTAGATTATGAGAGCTATAACCTCATGAGCTGACTAATTCATTTGATGGTTGATAGATTAATAATTCGAATGGATTACTAAGTTGTATTTATGTAGATGGGGTATAGCTGGAGGAAGCAGGTTACTGATAACATGCCTTGGGAGTTATATGCTTTTCCCCTGGCTTCTTACACTCTAGCAGCCACGAGTCAAGCAGCTTTCCTCTGTCATTTGCTTTCACCATAATGTTTTGCTTCACTCTATACCTATAACAATTGAGTCAATTAACTGAACCTTTGAAACCATAAGCCAGAATAAACTTTTCCTTCTGTAAATTGTTCTTGTCAGGTATTTTGTTCACACTAATGAAAAGCTAATACAGAAATTGGTACCAAGAAGTGGGGTCATTCCTGTGACTAATCTGATCTTGTGGTTCAAAAGTTTTGGAACTGATTTGTGGGAGAAGTTTGGAAAAGTCTGAAAATGCATGCTGGAGAAGCCTTAGATTTTTGTAATCAGAGCTTAATGGATGATTCTGGTGAGAGTTCAGAAGACCAAAATGCCTAGAGAAATACAGACATTAAAGACTATGTTCATGACTTTTCAGGAAACAAGGACTCTGTTTGGAATTGGACTAGAGGCCATTCATGTTAAATTCTGGCAAAGAACATGTCGACATTTTTCCCATGCTCAGAGACTTTCTGTGAGGTTGAGTTTAAAGGTGATGGGCTAATTAACCAGATGAAGGAAATTTCAGGTAACACAGTATTCAGGCAGTGGCATGGGTATTTCTGGAAGCTTTTATCGAGGAGTAGAACTAGGATCAGAAAGCAGATTAATATATATATA